CTGCAGTCAGATGGCAAAAATCACACATCTCTCCTGCCTGTATTTCTGACTGTTACTGAAGACCAAACCAAATACCAGTGTGTAGTGTGGTGCAAGGACAGGAGCTTCAGAAGGGAGACCACAGTCAAGGTTAAAGGTGAGTAGTTTTGGCTTTGGGAGCAGATTATCAGACAGGGCTGAGAATTCAGCTCAGAAAACATGTTCATGTGCACACAAACTGTTACATTTTTTGTGAGTGCGAGCATGGATTTGTAATTAAACTTTTTTAATAGGGAGGATATTTCATGACAGAAGCATGATTTTTTTCCCCAGAGAAACAGAAAGTATCACACTGAGAAAAGAAAGCTTTAAAAGATGTGGCAACTATTCTTCCCAAACACAGTCTTTTTCTAATTATAAGTTTTTAATCCCTAACCTCAAACAAGCTGTTTGAAAATCTGTGATGTGTATGACTTGAAATTGTCATACACAGCACAGTGGCAAAGGTTTTTAACTCCGCCCCCAATTCCTCTTATCACTAAAATGCAACCTTTAAAAGTGGGAAATATTCAATACGTGTAAATGGACATGAACTGATACAGAAAAAAAAACTATAAAATTTGTTTCCAGGAACAAATAACAATAGATTAAAGATTAAATATTACAACTATTTCGAGAAATGTCATGAGACTGTGTTGGACTCCCATAAAGCCCTGCATCCTAACTCTAAAAGGTTTAACTGGAGAAACACGTGACCCAATCCATGTGTACCAGTAAGTGCAGTCGGCATATTTAATCCTATTTATAGAAAAGAAGTAATGATTGTGTTGAAATTCTATTTATCTATATTACATTATATAATTAAGTTCTGTACCATAACTTATATACAAACCAGATTCCAAAAAAGTTGGGACACTAAACAAATTGTGAATAAAAACTGAATGCAATGATGTGGAGATGGCAAATGTCAATATTTTATTCAGAATAGAACATAAATCACGGAAAAAAGGTTTAAACTAAGAAAAGTTATAATTCTAAGGGAAAAATATGATGATTCAAAATGTCATGGTGTCAACAAATCCCAAAAAAGTTGGGACAAGGCCATTTTCACCACTGTGTGGCATCTACCCTTCTTCTTACAACACTCAACAGACGTCTGGGGACCGAGGAGACCAGTGTCTCAAGTTTAGCAATAGCTCTCCCATTCTTGTCTAATACAGGCCTCTAACTGTTCAATCGTCTTGGGCCTTCTCTGTCGCACCTTCCTCTTTATGATGCGCCAAATGTTCTCTATAGGTGAAAGATCTGGACTGCAGACTGGCCATTTCAGTAGATCCTTCTCCTACGCAGCCATGATGTTGAGATTGATGAATGTGGTCTGGCATTATCTTGTTGAAAAATGCAGGGTCTTCCCTGGAAGAGATGACGTCTGGATGGGAGCATATGTTGTTCTAGAACCTGAATGTATTTTTCTGCATTGATGGTGCCTTTTCCAGACATGCAAGCTGCCCATGCCACACGCACTCATGTAACCCCATACCATCAGAGATGCAGGCTTCTGAACTGAGCGTTGATAACAACTTGGGTTTTCCTTGTCCTCTTTGGTCGGGATGACATGGCGTCCCACATTTCCAAAAAGAACTTCGAATCGTGACTCGTCTGACCACAGAACAGTCTTCCATTTTGCCACACTCCATTTTAAATGATCCCTGGCCCAGTGAAAACGCCTGAGCATGTGGATCTTGCTTAGAAATGGCTTCTTCTTCTTCTCTGACTCTTCGGATGATGTTATGCACAGTTGATGATGATAACTGCAAAGTCTTTGCAATTTTTCGCTGGGTAACACCTTTCTGATATTGCTCCACTATCTTTCTGCGCAACATTGTGGGAATTGGTGATCCTCTACCCGGAGGAGAGACACTGCCACTCTGAGAAGCTCTTTTTATACCCAATCATGTTGCCAATTAACCTAATTAGTGTTAATTGGTCTTCCAGCTCTTCGTTATGCTCAAATTTACTTTTTCCAGCCTCTTATTGCTGCTTGTCCCAACTTTTTTGGGATTTGTTGACACCGTTTACTGTAGTTTGACAATGGACATTGAACATTATGTGTATCTCCAAAGGTTGATTCTGTTCATCTGGACGAAGCGTTTTGTGGGAGAAACGTTAAGATTAAGGAACTGACCTCCCAGCCCATTGTTCCTTCAGTGGGCTGGATTCAGTCATTATGCAAATGTACTGTTTATAAGATTGGAAACCTGCAGTCAGCTGAAACTGAAGAAGTCACTCGGATGAGTGACGAAACGTTTCTCCCACAAAACGCTTCGTCCAGATGAACAGAATCAACTTTTGGAGATTTACTTACCTGGATGACTGAGCATGCATCAAAACAAAAGTAATTGGACAGTTTCCTCAAAGTGCTAGTTCACAGGCAGGTGTGTGCAATTCCTTTGTTATGTCATTATCAATTAAGTAGATAAAAGGCCAGGAGTTGATTTAAGGTTTGGTGCTTGCATTTGGAAGATTTTGCTGTGAACAGAGAACAGGTGGCCAGCTCCATGCCGTTGAAAAGAAGCCACCAGCTGAGAAAACAGAAAAAACCCACTCCTAATATTGGTACAATAAATTGAGTGGCAAAATCTACAGTTTGGTACATCCTGAGAAAGAAAGAAGCACTTGTGAACAGTGGTGGATGATTGCAGAATTATTTCCATGGCGATGAGAAACCCCTTCACAATAGCCAATTAAGTAAACAACACTCTCCAGGGGGGAAGCATACCACATCATCTGTAAAACACAGCAGAGGCAGCGTGCATGGCTGTTAGTGGCACTGGGACACTAGTGTTTACTGATGATGTGACAGGGACATACTGTCTGCTCAAATCCAGCTAAATGGAGTCAAATTGATTGGGCAGTGTTTCATAATATGGATTTACAATGACCCAAACAAACAGCCAAATCAACTCAGGAGTTTATTAAAGCAAAGAAGTGGAATATTCTTGAATGGCCAAGTCACCTGATCTTAGCCCAACAGAGCATTTCACTTGCTGAAGACTAAACGTCAGACACAAAGGCTCACAAACAGACAGCAACTGGAAGCCGCTGCAGTAACAGCCTGGCAGAGCATTAAAAAGGAGGAAGCCCAACATCTGAGTTCATCCATGAGTTCAAGACCTCAGGCTGTCATTGCCAGCAAAGGGTTTTCATACAAGTGTTAGAAATGAACATTTTATTTTCAGTTATTTAATCTGTCCTGTTGCTTTTGAGCCCCTGTAATAAAGGGATTGTGTTAAGATTGCTTTGGCTCCTCACATTTTATTTTTATCTTTTTGTTCAACCCACTGAATTAAAGCTGCAGGTCTGCACTTCAACTCCCTCTGAGTGGTTTCATTTCAAATTCGTTGCAGTAATGTACAGAACCACAATTAGAAAGATATCCGTGTCCAAATATTTATGGACCTAACTGTATTTATGGTATGACTCAATCTTAGCTTTTTCTACCATTAGCATGTTTGGCTACATAATTTAATTATAAAATGATGCCTGTTGACTGACTTCATTTTCTTCTCATGTACTCTCCTCCCACCACACACACTCACATATTTCCAGTAGAACCATCTTTTCTTAAGATCTCCAGCATTCCTCAGATCCCAAAGGTGGAGAGGCTGCTGGTTCTCTGCTGTCGCGTGGAGAACTTTTACCCCCAGGACATCGACCTGGAATGGTACAGGAATGATGGGGAGAAGGTCCACCTCGTCACTCACTTTGGCCCCTTCTCTGACCAGACCCGCCTCTACAATGTGTGGAGTAAGATCGAGCTCATCATGGCCATAGAGGATGAGAGGGCCATGTACACTTGCCGTGTTTACCACTCCAGCTTCCAAGCTCCGGGGTACAAGGATGTCTTTTACCACATCAACACTCAAGGTAGCAGCTTCAAATGTTTTAGATTAGATGAGATTAGATGAAACTTTATTAAATCCTCCAGGAAATTCAGTTTCCAGTAGCACAGCACCGACAGACGTAGCATGTTACAGAGTTGAAATACCAAATAAAGGGGAATGAGAGTAAGGATATGAGCATAAATATACCATATATACAAATATACACATATATAAATACAGAATATATAATAGGGATAAATAACAATACCAGTGGATTGCACATTCGACTGAGTTATTGCACAGTCGAATATTAAAAAATAAAATATTGCACAGTGAAAAAAAGCACTACAGCTCAGTTGTTCCCGCCCTCCTTTGTCCCCCTGTCTCTCCTCCCTCTCCCCTCCAACGAAGGGTTAAACAGTCTGATGGCGTGTGGGACAAAGTTTTTAAGTCTGTTGGTTCTTGACTTTGGGAGAAGCAACCTGTCGCTGAATACGCTCCTCTGGTTGTTTATGACCGTGTGCAGAGGATGCCCAGCACTGTCCATAATGTCCAGCAGTTTCTTTAGTGTCCTTTTCTCTGCCACTGTCACCAGAGTGTCCAACTTCATGCCGACCACAGAGCCAGCCTTCCTGATCAGTTTTTCCAGCCTGGATGAGTCCTCCTTTGCTGTGCTGCTCCCCCAGCACACCACAGCATAGAAAAGTACTCCAGCAACCACCGACTGGTAAAACATCCTCAGGAGATTCCTGGAGATGTTAAAAGACCTCAGCCTCTCTGATTAGATTAGCTGGTTAAGAAAATGTCCTGGTGATGATGGATGTACAGTAGTATGGAAAGGTCTTGAGACACCCCCTCATTTCTTTATATCTTGCTTGAAATGGGACCTAGATGCAGTGATTTATGAAACATGCAGACATAAATGGAAATATGTCTACAGTGCAAAAACATACCACCATGCATAGCTCCCGATAGTTTTCCGTGGTCATAATTCTATTAATTTTGACAACATCCCAAACACCACTAGTAGCCCCAAACATGACAGTCTCCACAATGTTTACAAATTTATTTCTCAAGGACGTGATACTAATCCTATAGATAGTTTTAAGGCCTCCCACTTTTTCTTTTGTCCTTTTTCGTGTTTTGTAGTTTCCTCAAAGTTTTTAAGGACACGCTGAACCTTTCTGCTAAGATATGACAGCTAATGGAAATTCTTGTTGGTGTAAAAAGACTATAACTGTGTTATAGATTCAAAATTGAACTTTAGAAATTGGAATAAATCAGGTGTGTGTGTCACAGGCTGAAAACATTGCCTAAAGATACAATTTATAATTGGTTTGTTGCTAAGTTTTCTGTTATATGTTCACACAGCACTGGTCAGAGATCAGTCTGAAAATGGTCAGAGGCATATAAGAGGTCCCTTTCTGGCATTAAATTGATTGCAATTTATGGTAAATCACAACCTGACCTTTAGAGTCAAAGGTAGCAGAGACCATGATGCTCTGGGAAGATAGACTAGTCAGTGTTAAAAAGGACTACTTTTCTATCAGTTATGATGACAGATTTCTTTTTGATGTGTTAAAAGAAACTGAAGTCAAATTCCCAAATGTCAGAAAATAAAACAAAGTGACTAAACTAGCTTTAGCTACTGATGATCTGTGAAACTGTACACTCATTGGCTAACAACTTCTCCTCCTCATCACATCTGGGGTTTTACAACCAGGATGGTGATGACAGAAGCTTTAAAATGGTACTTTAGAAAGTAGCGGGTCATGGTATCGTTTTTGTTGTCTATGCCTCACTATCCTAAATCTACTTACTGTCCTAAATTTCAACCACATCTTATAGTTTTTTGGGGTTTTTTGTTACCAGTAGGATACTTTAGACTTGTAATTAGCAATTTAATTATTTAAAATTTTACTCTGAATTACTACTTTATTTCCATTCCACAGTTTGCATTTTCTTTCTCATTGAAAATTATTCAAACAAGAGTTATTCAAAATGATCCTTCAATATCAATATATCCATAATGCTTTACTGCATGTGTTGCTTTGTATGTTCAAACAGGAACCCCTCCTGATGTGATGTTCATCAACCACGAACCTCAGTGTCCTAAAGTGAATGAAGAGTGTACTTTGCACCTGCACATAAAAGACTTTTGTCCTGAGGAGGTGTTGGTGACATGGACTAAAGATGGAGACAAGGTTGTCTCTGGTGTCTTTAATACCCCCCCCAGCCTGAACGTCAATGGCCTGTACTCCATGTTCAGTTTCCTCAAACTCAATCCCACCAAGAATTACCAAGGCTGCACATTCAAATGCCAGGTGGTTCATAGTGCTCAGAAGGAGCCTGAGGAAAGGATCTTCATATTTCCAAAACTCTGCCTGACAGACAGCTGTTGATGTCTAAACCTACTTTGGATCGTTTCACATCTGGGGAGTAAATAAATTTAGTTTTAATTCTGCAGTTCTGCTGACGACAAAACTGTAAAACAGAAAACAAAAAAAATTGAAATGCTTTAGTTTGATATCTGCAAATTGTATCCTGCCTGAATATCAGTTTAGGTTAAACAGGCTGGGTTATCCACATTTAAGACTGCTATAAACCTTTTCTGACAATCTTAAAGACCACTTGATGCCCTCTGGATAATACAATAGCCATTTCATTATTATTTTTTGTTTTTATCACACACAATATTGTATTTCATATAGTTAACAGTGTCAGTTAACTATTATGCCATTAAACTAATGGCTTAATAGAAAATGCCTCTAGCATTTTCTAAGGTGATGCTAGAGGCTCTACCTTTTAAGCTACCTGCAGAGTTAGTGCAGTCGGTGCACACGCTGCTTTGAATTTAAGTTTTGAGTAACCTTGGTTTCATTGCTATATGTTCCTACATGTATTCTAATTGCTGCATGTTTTTTGTTCTATTTTGTTTGTGCAGAACATTTTTATTTGTATAGCAAACTGTAGTTTGTAGTTGCAAACAACAAGTTTTGTTACAAAGATTGTTGAGACAGGGACAATTGTTTTGTTGTTGTTTTCTATTAACAGAATTAAATGTTGAAACACAGTAAGTGTGTTCTAATTCCTTAAAAAGTATTATTTTAATTTCAATTTATAATTTGTGTATTTCAGTTGCAGTGTCACAATGTCGTTTTAATTAAGTGAAAATCTACATGATGTGATAAAGCAGGGGTAATCTATTACAAACCCAACAGGTCCGGTTACTAAGATTTCTTTCACAACAATGTCCAGATCTCAAGTCTTTTTCATCCCATGGATTAGGGTTAAATCATATATTTCTATTTCATTATAGTAATATTTAAGTTTTTGTTCAAATTAGGACACATGTGGCTAACAGAGTGAACTTCAGGCCTTACTTGCAAATAATAAAAATATTATTTTTCAATTTTAAAATTTCTATTTTCTGAATCAACTTTTTTCACCTTCAAGCACGCAACGTCTGCTCCTCTCTATTTTGCGTCTGCAGTAAGCTATGGTTTGATTGGCTTTTCTACCTAACTACGTAAACAGGCGATTACTGTAAGGACTGGTTTATTGTTTTATGGTGTACTGATAAAACAGTGCTCTGGGTTTATGTATTACGGGCAAATTTATTCTGTCACTGATTATTAGTCTGGACAGAACGAGCACTTCGTCTGGATCTGGACCAAGCTCTGCCATTTGGTGATATATGTGATAAAGCAACCCAAGATTAAAAATAAAGAAGAATTTTTTATTTTTTTTTTAAAAGAAGAAAATGTAGTAATGCTTTATTGAAGCAGTTTTATGTCATTATTATACTGCTGGCAAAGTAAAGCTAGTATTTTGCTGATTTCTTTTGTTTCGAGGTTCATAGCCATTTGATTTTATAAATTATTGGTTCAAAACAATTCGACTAAATCTACTAGGTTGGCTTTGTCAGTTTTATTTAC